TATATGGCAATGAAATTCTCTCTTTTACTTTCTGTAAACAACTGAGTGAATGTTCATATCTATAAGTTCTGTAAAAGTACATAGCAGGATACAAAATATCTGACACACAGCCAAATGATATTTTGAGTAATCCAGATTCTTTATTTGTTGTGTAGTAAATCTTATTGCTTTTATTATTTGGATATGTAATTCTTTGCATCAAAGAGGCAGTCTGACGTAAAACTTTTGATGTTATCCATTGTAGTATAGTTGATTGATACGGTGTCAATCATTTTTTAAGCACTCTCTCTATTTGTTGCATGTAAACTGCAAATTCCTCAAAACAACCAAATGGACCGATTCCTGCTGCTTTTAATTCAAATAAAAAGCTTACATCTAGCTGGACAATAGATCTGATGCAGCTCTCATCTGTATAGACTCTCAACGTTATATTTAGAATGGTTTTGTTGAGGTAAGGTCTTAGGGTTGGACTTAATAATAGACATGGTATCCCCTTACAATACAAATCATACAATTGACTGAACAATGAAGTTTGTACAGAACTATTGACTTTCCGTCGAAACATGTTGTTCTGTGGAATAAAAAAGTTTGGACAAGTTCCAATGTGTACCCAATTTATCAATAATTTGAAGCATTCCCAGAAACAATTCAATAAGTTAACAGCTGTCCAAATTAAGGAATCATTAGTCTGAATTACCCAAAATACAATTGTTTTTATGAAGTATGAACAAAGAACAGGATTATTTTTCTGAAAATTAATAACTTCCTTAAGAAAAACTTTAAAGAGACCATAACACAAAAAACTGACAATGATTCATCGAATAAACAAGTTTTTGTTCTGCTAGCGAGAATGAAATTCACCATTCCTCTCCATTTTCAGGTGTGCTACCAATAGGAACAACATGGAATCCCCCACTTGATATATCTGATACAATAATCTCCGAAAGCCAACCCCGTTGATGACATCGCAGATTCCACGGTAAAGCTTCTGTCGGCCAGTGATGTGACTGTAAACAGAGCGCACGGTCTACTTCTGCCCCTAGGACTATGTCAGAGGTAGCACAAGGTCCATTGATGAATAGAGAGCTGGTGAAGGTAGAGCTGTCCTGAAGTGACCGTAAATGGTTATAACGAAATAATGCACTAGATATGTAATTTTCGTTATTTATCATTGTACAAGAAGATCTTATTTCTACTTTATTTGAAAGACTCATCAAATTCAGTCTGGTAAACCCCGGTGGTAAATCATCACACTCCATCATAATCAAGGTATTCTGTGGGACCCGGTAGAACCTGATCTGTGAGAGATCACAAATAACCTTGTGGTTAGGATCCCAATACATGGAATCTAGATCTGAGGAAAATAGATTGAATCCTTCTCGCCTGCTCCAACTCATCATTGGCTCGAATCCCATCATGATGTTTGTACCTTTACTCACACCCTCCTCTGTTTCCATCACTTCTCTCCTGAACCTTACTTCCGTGGGAGTCCCTATTTTGTGACATATTCCCACATAGACCGCCTCTGATAGCCGAGGTATGTGAAACATTCTTATGTATCATAAATTCATTGTATAGAAGAGATCAGAAAAGAACGCATGATATATTACCTCTTTATCATCAATTGATGATGAGAAATATCTGCTGTTGGGGATTACTTTTCTGTAAATTCTTTTATATGTTTTGACCAATATATTAAAAATATATCTTTCGTTCCGTTTGCCATCGTAGAAAGAATTTTTTGATATGAACATCTAAGTTCTAACCTGAGAATGAATAAAAAAATTGTGTATATATTACTCTTCCTAGAAATGATCAACATCGCAAAATAAAAATAAATTATGTAGCTCTTAACATTTTTAAAGATTAATGTATGAATAACTCATTAATAACAGAAAACATGATACATGTATAAATCAATTAGAAGAGTTTTTTAACATAGAGCTCAAGACTGTAAGAACTTTAAATATTTAAAAGTAATGTTATTCAAAATTCAAATATGATCTGGGTAGGAAAATACCTAACGTAAAATTCCCGACTTTCGGTTTGTGTTATAAGTAAACACGAATGTTTTAAAATAGTACTCTTTATTACGTTTTAGTTTAAATTATTTTTTAATGTTGTTACTGTGGATAGAATAATAAAACAATATGATCCACGTTAAAAGATTTTCAGGATTTGTAAAGAATAAGAGATTAAATAAATGGACATTACATGTTGATTTGCTACATTTAAAGATATTGCATTATAATTTGATAAAAAATTGAAATCTTTGTATTATTTAGAAAGGTCTTCATCGGGTTTGAAGATACTTAAATAATTAGTTGTAATTGTATTAAAGGAGAAGCAGGAAAGAGACTAAATTGATTATTTTTATAGATAAATAATATGGGCATTATCTGAGGAAAGATATGTTGAAGCTTACTCAAGCATTGAATGCATTTGAAAAACATTATGTGATAGATGTATTTAATTATTATTACCAAAAATAAATAAATCAATAAATTTCTCAAACGAGAGTGATTTTTAAATTTTCAGTATGCTAAACATAATCCAAACAAGGAGAACTAACATATACATAAATAGACGTCCTTCATTTAAAAGCCTCAAATGGCAACAAATATTATGATAAATTGCATTATGCTTCATATTGAAATATGAAAGAATGAAAATCATTGAGGCTTGCACTGTCTTGCTACCAAGTCGTTACATAATGTTAAAATAAAAAAAAGATCTGATAATTATATTGGATTATCTACACTCCCCCCCTCCCCAACCCCCATCCCTCAAGCAAAACCAACTAGGGCAAAACATGAAGGATATTTCATAAAATGTATTTCAGAATTTTAAAAAAATCTAAAATGTTTAGAAAAATGTGCCTATCCACATCATATATCATATTTAGAGATTAAACATGGATGACACGATCGTTATCAACGTTGTGTGTCGTTAGTCCATATCTAAAACACTGTAGACCCATACACATGAATCCTACAACTAATACAAAGGATGTTGGATCCTGCAAAAAGTCAAGTAGGTAACAAAAAACTTATACATGTATTTCTACTTCATCAGAATATATTCTTGATAATTCTTTTAAATGGATATTTTAAAATCATCAAGCTGTAAAATTTTGATTTTAGTAGCAAAAATATTTTTTGATTTGGCCTTCTGAACCTTACAATGGCTTCAAATGTAGATAAGTAAATGTTTTATCTTCTCGTCTTAACAGTTAAGCTAACAAGAAATACACATGTACAATTCATCAGTAGTTTTATTTGGTTTGTTTATTTGATTAACATCCTTCAAATGTTTTACTCATTTTGAGACGTCACGAGATGCATTCGGAGGGTTGCAAATCTAGGCCTGTACTCGACACTAACGGGCTTTGAGCGGTGAGAGATCATTTTTGTGTTAGCACCTTCTGCGCATGCCAAACGGGACCCCGGTTTATAGTGTCTCACCCGAAGGACCGGTCTCTGTGTCACAAAGTGGATTCGAACTCCCAACATGAAATCAGAAGGACAAAACCTTTGAAAATAAAAAAAATGAAGAAAAATTAACTATCAATTTTTTACAGAATACTTAATTAATGCTTATTAAAAAAACAACAACACTTTTTTCAAAATCAGAGTTATTTCCTACCCCCCCCCCCCCCCTTCGAAAAAAAAGGATTGATGAGGTTTCTTTTTTTTCAGTTACTTTTTTCGGATATTCTTTCTATTTCTTTGCCTGCCACGTCCTTCCCTCTTAAAAATACGATGTTTTATGTCGGAACACTGGGGTTAATGTCTTGAACATTTTTTCAAGAAAAGAATGACCGTTCACGGTAGCTCAGTCGGTAGAGCGCTCGATCCGTGATAGGAAGGTCGTGAATTCGAATCTCGGTCTCGGCAGACTCGATAAAAAAAAATGGGTAGCAATTGTTCCTCCGCCATGCGCTCGGCACTTTGAAGTGAAAGTTGTAGGTCCTTCAGATTAGACCTTAAAAAACGAGACCCCGTGTCACGGCAGGCCTTGGCACGATAAAGATCCCTCAAAGCTTAATGGCCCTGAGTGCCGAGTTAGGTCAAAATTTGAAGTCCTTCACCGGTATATGGTGACGTCTCTATATAAGTGAAAAATTCTCGAATGGGACGTAAAGCAAGATACAATCAATCAATCAAGAGAAGAATGAATCACCATTTTTACAATAATGTATATTTGAAAAGTATGTTACGTAATTAGAATCTTAAGAGACCAGAATGCTTAATCTGTGAGCCTTTACTTCTAATAAATCTGAAATATTCAAAAATAGATTTATTGATCATTGTCTGAAGGAAGACACTGATTTAGAAAGATAAGAAGGGTTTTTTTTAACATCGTAAACGTTATGAAAGTTAATTTTCAAAACGCTTTGTCATTATTCAGTTACAGTTCTAAAGCATATACCAAAAACCCCAAAATTTTGTTTTTATTTTTATTATTTACTCCCTTGATTTTCTATTTTTCAATAAAAAACATGTTTACAATTTATCAACACACTTGCTATTTTATTACAAATAATAATGTTGAAAGAACTGTCACTGATAATAAGGTGATACAAAGTAGATTTCTATGCTACGATTAAGTTTATGACTAATAATTACATTGTCATAACATTGAAGACTCAAAGAATATATACATTTAAAAAAAAACAATATATGTGTTATAGTAAATGAACTTAAATATCATAAGTATAAATAATTTGATTTCTCAGGAAATGTCTAAGTATGACAAACAATGGAAAAGACAGAACGTATTTCTCAACCTCCATCTTTTCATTCTAATAATACAACTTTAAGTGAGCAGGATATTTAATTCCCAAACTAAACATAGAAACATTTTCGCTTACATGAAACCGTACTTTATCGGTTATAAAAGACAATATGTACAGAAGCAAGCAAATATGGAAAAATATACCCTTTTCAAGCAGATGATAGACAAATTGAAAAATACACAGCGTCCTCCAAGAAAATAAAATATGTGTAGACAGTTTAACTAAAATATTTAAAATTGCATCGCTTCATATTGAGATGTGTTCATTCTTAACAGTGTCGCTTCCTGAATCTTGTGTAATGGTTCTTGTTGTAACGAAATTTGAAAAGACGCTTGAGATCCTACATAGTCTCCACAGATTTGTTGGCAGATACCCAGTATTTGCCATGAAATGTCCCGAAGAAAATTAGGTACATAAACATTGTTATCTTGCAGAAGCAGAGTCTGTAGAATCTGTAGAGATTGTTGTGACCTGACTGTGTCACGCAATCTGTGGTGATTCAATATAAACAACATGTGTAACATAACCAAAGGTGGAATAAACAAGACACCGAAACGATTCTTATTAGAAACCTTCTGCTCTAACACTAATTCGTCTATGAAAGTGTATTTTCCCTCTAATGTAATAGTATCCACTTTAGCCCTCCTGAATTTTCTACTCAGACACGCCCCCTGCACATAGAATCTGTACATGTCTACATTAACATGCTGGTTATAAACAATATATGGCAATGAAATTCTGTCTTGTGCTCTCTGTAAACAATTGAGTGAATGTTCATATCTATAAGTTCTGTAAAAGTACATAGCAAGATACAAACTATCTGACACACAGCCAAACGAACATGATAATTTTAATAATCCGGATACTTTATTTGTTTTGTAATAAACCTTATTGCATTTATTATTTGGATATATGATACTTTGCATGAAAAAGGAAGTCCGCCGTAATACTTTTGATGTTATCCATTGTAATATAGTTGCTTGATATGGTGTCAGTCTATCTTTAAGCACTCTCTCTATTTGTTTCAAGCAAACTGCAAAGTCCTCAAAACAAAAAGGCCAATCCATTGTTGTGTATAATTCCCTAAAAAAGCTTACATCTAACTCAATGATAGATATGATACTGCCCTCATCTGTAGAGATTCTTAAAGTTCTATTTAAAATAGCTTTGTTGAGGTAAGGTCTTAGGGTTGGACTTAATAATAGACATGGTATCCCCTTACAATACAGTTCATACAACTGATGGAACAATGATGTTTGTACGCAACCAGTAACTTTCAGACGAAACATGTTGTTTTGTGGAATAAAAAAGTTCGGACAATTTCCAATGTGTACACAGAATATCAATAATTTGAGGCATTCCCAGAAACAATTCAATAAGCTATCAGGTGTCCAAATCAAGGAATTATTAGTCTGAATTACCCAAAATACAATTGTTTTTATGAAGTATGAACAAAGAATAGGTTCATTTTCCTGAAAATTAATAACTTCCTTAAGAAAAACTTTAAAGAGACCATAGCACAAAAACTGACTGTGATTCATCGAATAAACAAGTTTTTGTTCTGCTTGCGAGAATGAAATTCGCCATTCTTCTCCATTTTCAGGTGTGCTACCAATAGGAACGACATGGAATCCCCCACTTGATATATCCGATACAATAATCTCCGAAGGCCAGCCCCGATGACGACATCGGAGTTTCCACGGTAAAGCATGTGTCGGCCAGTGATGTGACTGTAAACAGATCACACGGTCAACATCTGCTCCTAGGACATCGGAAGTGGTAACAGATGGTCCATGTGGAGTGATAGAGCTGTCCTGAAGTGACTGTAAAATGTTATAACGAAATAATGTACTAGATATGTAATTTTCGTTATTTATCATTATACAGGAGGATCTTATTACTCCTCTATTTGAAGGACTCATCAAATTCAGTCTGGTAAATCCCGGTGGTAAATCATCACAATCCATCAGAATCAAGGTATTCTGTGGGACCCGGTAGAAAGTGATATGTGAGAGATCACAAATGACCTTGTGGTTAGAATACCAATACATGATATCGTGATCTGAGGAAGATAGATTGAATCCTTCACGCCTGCTCCCACTCGTCATTTGCTGCAATCCCATCATGATGCTTCTACGTTTACCCACAACCTCCTCTGTTTCCATCACTTCTCTCCTGAACCTTACTTCTGTGGGAGTCCCTATCTTATGACATAGTCCCACATAGACCGCTTCTGATAGCCGAGATATGTGATACATTCTTATGTATCATGAATTCATTGCATAGAAGAGATCTGAAAAGGAAGCATTATATATTTACCTCTTTATATTGAATTGATGATTGGAAAACTCTGCTGTTGAGGAATTTTTTGATAAGGTTCTTTTATATATTAAGACCACAATATTTAAATATAGCTTTCTTTCTGTTTCCAATCGTAGAAAGATGTTTTTAATAAGTACGTCTAGGTTCCCAACCGAGATTGAATTTGTTTGTGTATATCTTTCTAGAAATGATCCACATCGCATAATATAATAAATCATGTAACCCTTAACATTGTTAAAGATAAATATGTGAAATATCTAGTTAATAACAGAAAACAGGATACTTTTATTCAAAATTTTAATATGATCTCTGTAGGAAAATACCTGACGTAAAATCCCCGACTTTCGGTTTGTGGTATGAGTACCGGGTAAACACGTATGTTTTAAAATTGTACTCTGTATTAGATTTTAATTTAAATGATCATTTAATGTTGTTACTATCAGTAGAATAATAAAACGATATGATCCATTTCAAAAGATTTGCAGGATTCGTAACTAATAAGAGATTAAATGAATGAAGATTTCATGTTGATTTGCTACATTTAAAGAATTACAGAAATCGCATTATAATTTGACAGAATTTGGAGAAAAAAAAATTCTTAAATCGTTGCATAATTAGATAATTCTTCAGCAAGTTTGAAGGTGCAGAAATAATTAGTTGTAATTGTATTAGAGGAGAAGCAGGAAAGATACTAAATTGATTATATTTATAGGTTAGTTTTGGGCATTATCAGAGGAAAGATTTAATGAAATCTACGCAAGCATTAAATGCATTTATCGAACATTATGTGATATATTTAATTGTTAATAACGAGAATAAATAAATAAATTTCTCAAACGAGAACGTAATTAAAAAAAAGAGCTTAGGGTCTTAGAAAACTCAAAAATTATCGTTTTATTATTTTAAAATTCAGTAAGAAATGTATATCTACAAACCTGTATGGAATAATATCTTTGTCTGACGGAAATTCCCTCACCTGTACTTTCAGTTTGTAATATACCATTTAATCTTTCGTGTCATGGTAGATTGATCTATACATTGTAAAGCAAGGTTCATTTCGTATTTGAATAACATGATGGATTCTCAATAAGTATAAGCATTTGATTTACGCATATTTCTCCAGGACAGCGGACGTTATGATTTTTTTTAAATTCTCAGTATGCTTAACATAATCAACACGAAAGGAACTTACATATACATAAAAAGATGTCATTCATTTTAAAGCCTAATGGCAACAATAATAAAGATAAATTGTATTATGGTTCGTATTGGAATATGAATGAATGAGAAATAAATGAGACTAGGATTGTCTTGCTACCAAGTCGTTACATAATATTGAACACAAGAAAAACATCCATGTTCTAATAATTGATATTTGATTATTTACTAACAACCCCCTCCCCCCAAGCAAAAACAACTAGGCCACAAAATGAAAGACAATTCATAAAATATTGCACTACAGAATAAAAATAAATAATAAATGTTTCAAAAAAAGTGTCTGTCCACATCAGATTTAGAGTTTAAACCTGGATGTTATGATCGTTATCAACGTCGTGTGTTGTTAGTCCATATCTAAAGCACTGTAGATCAATTCGCAAAATACATGTACATGTATCGTACAATTAATAGAAAAAAAAATCAATCCTGCAGAAAGACAAGTAGATTACAAAAAAACTTGTATTTCTATTTTATAAGAATTTACTTATCACGATTCTTTTAAAAAATGACATATTATAAAATAAGTGAGTTGTCAAATTTTGATTTTATTAGCAAGATTTTTTATTATTTGGTATACTGAACCTCATTATACATGAAGCTACATTTAGGCATGTAAATGTTTTAACTTCTAGCTGAAACAGTTGTGTTAAGAAGAAGTACACATGTACAATTCATCAGTAGTTGCATTTTTTTTTGTTCAATTTTTTAACGTCCTTTCGAGAATCGTTTGCTAATTTTGGGACACCACCACTAACTGGTGGATGGCTGCAAATTTAGACCTGTCGTTGGCACTTACAGACTTTGAGCTGGTGGGATCTTTTTTTTTTTGTGCCAGCACCTACTGCGACACGCGACCTCTGTTTATAGGGTCTCGTCCGAAGGACCGGCCTCAGAGGGTTCAAACCCGCGACAGTAACATAAACTCCCTAGTCTGCAGCTCTACAGCAAACGTTTTAACCACTGCGCCACGTGGAAGGTTATAGGTAAGTTGAGACTAGGTTATTCTCATATTTCTCTATACAATTGTAATAGTACTAGTGAGAAGTGTAAATTCAATCAATGATAGATAGATACATGTATATTTTTAATTAAGTTATATAGAATCAACTCAATTCACATAAGAATTTATTTTTCTCATCTTCATTTATGTGTTTAATAAATGGCATCAGATAATTAGAAATCCTTGTCAACATTAAGTATACCTTTCAGAAAATTAGGAACACCAAGGATACAGACGCTTTAAAGGCAAGTAGTATCGGATTGGGGAGGAGTGCTCAGGGCGGTTGTCCCTTATTTTTTTCAAACATAACCTTAAACTGTTAAAAAGGTTCATTAATTTCCCTAGCTCCCCCTCACTTTTTGTTGCAGTATAGCCACATCGGGGTAGTGTTGTGATGTATTTTTTCCTGCTTGTCAAACCTTTTCAGGTAAGTTGACATTTTTTTTAAAAGTCCCAAACAAAAATTTCTGATAAGAAAAAATACCTACATTTCTTTAACTAAATGGATTTTGAAGAGATCATTCTTGCTGATGGACTATTTTCTTTTTACAAACATAGCAGGTCTCTAAGTGACCTCAAAAATTTAGGCGCCAGCTGGCTCCTAATAAAATATATTTAGTCCCATTGCACATTTTAAGTCGCCAGGCATATTTTACTGTGGCGCCAATTTTAAAAGCTAATATTAGTCAATATATAGACCTATTGGGGCGACAGCCGGGCTATTGTTATTGTAAAGAAAACGGTAAACAAGCAATATGTAAGTTTTAACTTAAGCATGTATGTAAAACTCCATCGTCTCAACCACTGACCGGAGTCTTTTTAAGAAACTTTGGACCTCATGAAATATTTTTTTAAAACTACAATAATATCAAGAATCGTTTACACTATTTACATTTTTACGCTCGTCCATACAATTACGAACCATCAATAATGTCTTAACGATATCTCTAATGAGTGAGAATTGAATTGGCGAACAATTGATCATTTCACCCGTCCAATTTACTGTGTTTCACAATTGTCGATTTTCTGGAATCAGAAATTACCTGGGGCAGCTTATTGTCTTATCTGGTCTACTTGAGCTCTGTGTGCACTGACACGATGCAAAATTTAGTTCGTAAATGCGTTGTAAAAACTACTAAGGATACATAGAAAACTCAAGACGTCCACTGCTAAAAAAATAATTGTCTCAACTTTAAAAATTTCTTTTCGCCTCTTCATAAAAAAGTTATTGAAATTTTTTTAGTTCCGGATATGACGATCGCCAAGTCAATTTAAAATGGAAGCCAATTTGGCGACTTACAGAGAAATTTTAGGCGGCAATCAAAATTTTTAGGAGCCATGGCGACTAAATTAGTCGCCAATTAGAGCCCTTTTATAGATAACAATATGATATTCTTACTCAAGAAGAAGCCTTAATATTTTCTAATATGATATAACTGCGAATAAAAAGTTCATCGACAATCAACTTAAAATGGATAACAGTTCAAAGTATGAAGTGGTGCTTCCTTTTTCAGAAATAAATTTTATGTGTATTCATGATAGAAAGAAACTAAAAATAAATTATATGATATATAATAGATCAATATTAACTGTGTTTTTTTGTTTTTGTTTTTGTTTTTTTTTATATTTTACATACCTCATATCATTTTTTTCATATTTTACATACCTCATGTCATTAATCTTAATTCTCTTTCTTTTATTTTTATTTTTTAAAGACATTTATCTCTGTAAAAAGGACGCACCACTTCATTTTCCATTTGAAGTTGCTTGTGGATGAAAAACAGTGTTCATTATTTTTAGTTTTTTCGGAACAAAGGGTCATTATACCTTATATTTATCATATGTGATGGTTATTATCTTTACAACATCATTTACTTGACCGTATGCATGTTCAATTAAAAGCATTTTGAGTTGAAATATATACCCAAAGAAAATACATGTACATCCCTTATAGAAGCTCAAAGAAAGTCACCACACGTCGGGATCATTTTTGTTGATGTGCGGATTTTAAGGATGGTGACCCATTTCTACCACCCTACCACAGTCATTATATGGCGGGAGTCTTTTTCAGTTTTTACAATGGTTATTCAGTGTGGCCCTTTTTCTCTTGCAAGAACTTTCCTTTTTCTTCATATTTTTATATTTTTAATCCTATTTTAGACCCGACCCAGCCAGAAAAGCAGGTTTTCTTTTACATGAAGTTTTGTGTAGAATCAGCGTGATTTAAAAAAAAAAAAAATAATGTTGTTGATGACAAACCAGAAGATACAAAAATTTGCGATATCCTTTTTTATTGTAGACGTGGTTGTCTATATATGATATCAAAAGGCTAGTTATTAGTTTATCGTGAAGAACAGTCTTCAGATTCAAAAATTCTCAAAAAAAGTTCTAACCCCAGATTTCACATTTGTGGTTTAATGATGAAACGTTGGCTTGCCTTGCATTTCGTCTGCTACATTGTTGTTATGTAAATAATGCTTAATACATATTTTTCTTAGTTCTGATGCTGGAGATTTTTTCCAATTATAAACCTCATCCTCAATACAAAAATAAAACGGCATAAGATTTATTAACGTATTGGATTTAAAATATTCATTTCCTCAACACAAAATGTTAAGAGAGTATGTACTTGTCAGAATTGGAATTTAAACATGAATATTATGATCGTTATAAGCGTCGTGTATTCATTAATTACTCAATATCAGAAAAATATGTGTC